GGGGGGGGGGGCCTAAGAAGACTGCCTCAGGGGAAGAGGCCAGCCTGGCCTAGGTAGGGAATTCAAGGCCAGCCTCGAAGCGCAACCCTGTCACAGAACAACAACAAAAAGGGGTGGGGAACCCTGGCCAAGATCTGTTTTTAGGTCAACCTCTTTTTTTATTTTTCTATCCTCCTCGCATATTGGCCACATTCTAACAACATGGCCAATTTTACAGTGTTTAGCAGTAATTGATTCTTCAGTTTACTTTTTGTATTTTAATACTGATCCAAATTTTAATCAGCAACCTGTATTTATAAAGGGTTCACACTACAGGAAATCAAACCATTAGCCACAGGTGTGATGATAAGTACAGTTACGAAAGAAACAGCTGCTCAATTTTGATAGGCAAGAGTACTCACAGTCAAGGTCAACTTCATTCTAAAGGCGGTGAGCAGCTCCAGGAACAATGTCTACTGTTAGACCAATCCTGTCTCAGAAATCCCTAGTGTGCTATCCACAGCCAATGAGAACTCAGAACTGGTATGAACTCATAAAGAACTGTAATTCCAAGCAAAAGAAAGGGGCCAGGGAGATAGCTCAATAGAGTAAGTGCTTGCCTGGCAAGCACAAAGGCCTGAGTTCAATCCCTGGTTCTGAAAAAATAAATAAATAAATAAATAAATAAATAGGGAAAAAAAAAAATATATATATATCCCCCAAGCAAAAGTAAGGGAAGAACTTGATGGTCTGTGTAACCTCTGTGTCCACATCCTAGGTATATGCGCGGTTTCCAGTCAGCCTTTAGAAATGCTGGGAATGCCCACCCGGCTTCCAAGGCTTCTGCAGATACCAAGCTGGAGCCACAAGCCTAGGTCAGCTCTACATAGCCAACCGCAGCAGGACAACTGGTTGTCCCTGTTACATTCTTTATCGAAATTCTCAAAGGGCAATTGCATTTTGGGGTTGCACAATGGTGAAATATACCAGAAAATCCTAGGAAATATCTTCAGCTGAGAAATCCAACCATCCTTCTCTATCTCAGGGCTTTTCAGTTTGAGGAACTGGGACTGGAAAGCATAATTTGAAAACATTCCTCAATAACTGTAACCCTTTGTGTGCACTATCCCCACACATGGCCCACAACAGAACTGAGTGAGACTCAAAGGGCTAAGGTAACATGTTGTGTCAGAAGCATACTGCGTGACTTAAATATTATGCAAATGCAGGGAGAGGCAACTAGATCCCGGAACTCAGCAGGGGGTGCAGCGTCAGCTACTCCTGGGCACCAGTAACTCATGAGTCCAATCTACCCCTACACCGCAAAGCACGCTTCCTGGAGCAATTATGCTGTGATATGCCACTGTTCCCCCAGGGGTATTACTGTCAAGGTCAGTAAGTCAACAGTTTAGGTACTTTAAACGAGGAAGAAGCTGGATGCATAAAGGAACAAGGGAAAACCTGCCTCTCGGCAGATCAGGGAAATAAGCACGAGCAGCACTTCATAACCAGAAACATGAGTGCGCGGCACGGAACTGAGCAGCCTGGTCTAATTCCGGAGGCGCTATGCGCCTGATGGCTGCAGTGGGGCTCCATTGGACGTCTCAAAGAAACGAATGCTATGAAATCGTGGCCTTGTTTTTCTGTCCACAGCCCCAGTAATCCTCGCCTAACAGCAGTGCCCTGCCCTTTCCAGATGATTAGTACTGAGCTTGTTATTGGTCTATTTTCTTTCAGCTTATCCAGGTCCTCTGAGAATGCTGTCTGCCAAAACAGGCAGAGAGTTTCCTGGCTATCCACGTACAATTAGGGGCCATTAAATACCTCTCAGATACCCTAACACCAAAATTGCCCTCCATGGTCCAGCCAGCAGCTGGGTCTAGATTTCCTCATCGGCGGGCCCCAATGGTAAAACCCCACCCTTCAGGCTCCTGAGAGAAGGGACAAAGGGGCAGCGCTTCACAGCATCAAGCAGGGCAGTGACAGGAATGCCATCACCCACACTTCATGGCAGAGTCAAGGGCAAAAGAAAGAGCCTTTGTGCACAAAAGATGCTGTCAATTTGGTATTCTACTTAAAGATGTAAACAGGCTATTCTCTTCTTGAGAAAATAAGAGGATTTTTTTCTTCCAAAAACTCTGTGACTGCCATTTATATTTCCATGATAAAGAATAACACTATGTCCTGAGCAGTGGCATAATCCTGCGAACTCATGCAGTAGGGATGACCGCCCAAAGGGAAGGTGGCCAAGGGCTACCTAGTGCCCCAGCCACAGCAGTTCTGATCTGCAAAGATGTACAGGAAGGATCCTGACCGATATTGGCAGGAAACCCTCACAAGGACCAGCCCGGGCACTTCCGAGTCCCAGAACTCTGTGGTGAAGGTACTATCACTATCCTCACATTCTGCCTATAAGAGGAGTAAGTCAGCAGCTCACCAAGATCACGGTTATTACCTGGCAGAGCTGTGAGCGCCCGCACGGCCAAGGTCTCGCCCTACGCCCCACCCACATCCATCCACATCAGTGGCGAAGCCATCTGGAGCCAACAGAACTGC